TACTGGAATTATAATTAATATAATTAGAATTGTTGTTAGTTTTGCTTTTATTGATAATAGAATGTGCTCTGTACATCTGGCATATATCAATTTTTTTTCCAGTTTCTTAATTGGTTATATGCCACCTCACTTCTATCTTAATTCAGTTTATTATTTTCTAAATTATTAAACTATCTTTATATAAATTTATTTTTCTTTGATTTTCAATTTGTTTGATTATTCTAATTAATTCTTTTTTGTTTGGATTGCTGGTTTGTAAGTGTTTTGTAATTTTATTTTTTATCTTTATTTGTTTTCTATTAATTACAACTTTAACTTTGATTTGAATCTTGTTCTTTATATTTTATATATTATATATTATTGTATCTGGTGATGTTTATATTTTATTAAAATATTTTAAAATTTGACTATAAAGTTTTATATTATATATAGTTTTGATTACTGAAACAATTATTGCTTGGTCTATTCTTATTTCTTTAATGTACTTCTTTTTCATATTGTTTCTATAATTATATTCTTAATATCTGACTATAAATGAATCTCTTTCTATTTGTTTTATATGTTGTACTCTGATTTTATTGTTTACTATTTTGTATTTACAGTTTATTCTTTCAAAATATACTGTATTTGTTGATTTATTATACAGTATATGTCAGATATCTTTGCTTATGGATGTTGTAACTTATTGCAGCTTCTAATTATAAGATTGAATTAAGTTTTGTTAAGTTTGTTAATATAATTGTATTTTTATTTTTTAGTATTTCTGATTGGCTATATTTTTTTCTAATTTCAATGAACTATCTTAACTATTTTTTAGTAGATTTATATCTTATAGTTGCTCTAATTTGTTTTTAGTTTAACATATGTGTTTGTTGGATATTGATAATTTGTTTAATAAATATCAAATAGTGATTTCTAATATTTTTATTGTTCTTTTTACTTTATGTTTGTTCTATGATTTCTTTAATAGTATATAGTTTTATATTATTATATATTTTTTGAATATTTGTAAGATTTGACTTGTTAGATATTTGTTGGATTTTTCAATTGTTGTTTTTAATTAAAATATGTTTTCTGGTATTTATGTTTGATTTTGTAAGTATTGCAACCTGCCTTTGACTAGTGCTTCTTATAAGTTATTTTTGTTTAGATTTGTTATTCAGTTTTGCTATACAGTATAAGTTTTTTATTTTTTATACTAAACAATTTATATCATATATAAATGTATATACTGCTGTTTGGAGCTATAAGTAAAATACTTATTTTGTATTTGAAGGCTTGCCTGATTTGACTATCTATAATATTAAGTTTTTAAGTTCTTAGTATAATAGAATTGTATCTTAAAGTATATACTCTATAACTAGTATAATAACTTGATTTAAAATATATCTATATTATTTATCAAGAATTATAATTCTTTTTAGAATGTGTATTGTTAATTTAATCTTTTGTTTAATTAGTTTGTGCTAATATTTTTATTTCCTATTGTTGTAATCCAGACTCTTAAGATTCTTATGACTTGTTTTGGTTCTAATGGTTTGATTGTTTGGTTTTAAAAATAAAAATCTTCTATATTTTAATTATTAATTATAAAAAAAGCTACTTTTTTTGAGTTAACTTTAAGATTGGCAAGCTTTATAATCTGTTCTATAATTCTGATAATTTTGTTGATATGTTCCTTATAACCTGTTAATCAGATAATACTTTTATATATTGTATGTTATTAATGAAATTCTTTATTTTGATTCCTTTATGTTTTGAAATTGTTTATAGATTTTTTGGTTATGAATCTATATCTTATATATTTTTTTCACTTTGCTAATTAATGAATTATAATAAATATGTTATAATAAAAATGAGATTATATCTCTTTGATTTATATCTTAAATTAGTTTGAAGCTGTTTGTAAGACCATTATATATAATAACTTTTATTTTTCTATTGTTAATTAGATTTTTCAGAATTTTGTCAACAGCTGTTAAAATTTTAATTCTTTATAGAGCTTTGCTTAGTAATTTTAAATTTATTAAATTATTCTTACTAATTAATTATTTAATATTAATAACTTTTTTTAATATAAAATATTGATATAAATTTTAAAATAAATATTTATTTATCAAATAATATTTATATGTTAATAAAGAAAAAAATTCAATAAAGCTATAGTTTAATAATAAATCACTGATATATTAGTATTAATATTATAAGTTCAATTTCAAATAATGATAGCAGACTATAAACCTATTACAATGAGCCAATTATTAGTAAATGATAACTATTATTAAAATATTACATATATTATAAATATTTATTGATTAGCTTAAACTTTAAAAGTTTAAGAAATTGGAAATAACATATAAAACTAATAAGTATTAATTGCCTAACTATCAAATATGTATATAGTCAAGTTATAATTAGAGAATTAATTTTCAAACTTTAGAGTAAAACAAAAAAAAACTTTTTTCTGTTTATCACATAACCTTAAAAAAATTTTTTTAAGGTTTTTTTTTTTTGAAAAAAATTTTCATTAAAGAATTTACAAATATATTGATTAATAATATTATACTATACTCTTTTGGAAATATAGTTCTTGCTGATAAAGAAACTATAAAATTGAAAACAGCTTTCTTTATTTTCAAACAAGTTGTTTTGAATAGCAAACTAAAAGTACTATTGGAGTTTGTATTGGCTTTTTAATAACAAAAAGTCAAGTAGTATTTTTTATATAGCTAAAAATTACAAATTAATAAAATATAATAACAATGTTAACATGGCAAAACACATAATTACAAATGAAAATAAAGATCAACATTCTTTATTCTTTTTCACAAACTTTGCTTGTAATACAATATTTAATTTTTTGTTTGTATGAGATTATATATTTTGCAACTAAATTTTATTTAACCATTATAAATAGCAATAGTAGTATCTACTTGAAACAAGAAGCAAATAGTCAATTCTAGTTGAAAAATTTTTCAACTAAATAAAAATTATTAAGAAGATATAAGAAGTTTGAACTGATTATAAACTTTTTTTAAAAATTACAATAGTATACAAAATAGATTTTTTAATACAGTAGATAGTTTTTTTCTTTTTATAGTTTTACAAATGTCTTATAAATTTTAAGAAGTTTTTTTATAAGATTACTATAGATATCCACATGTAAATATATTCATTTATTTCTATTTTTACTTTTGGATTTTAATAGATCTAATTAAAACTAATAAATATAACTAGTCTACAGTTGACTATATCTAAATAGTTTTTTAAGTTTCTATTTATTGGATGGCAAATAGGAATTTAAAGATATATATTTTGATAAATTAGTTTTTTATATATGCTATTAGAGTTTTAGTATTAATAATGTTACTAAAATTTTTGAAAATTTTATAAACTTTGAATAGATATAACCATATATTATCAACATTTATTATTATTTATTATTTTTAGTTATATTTTTTATATAATACTTTTTTTTTTCTTTAAAAATTCTCTAAATATCTATATAGTTTTAAATGATACAACAAATTCAAAGTGCCCTAGCTCAAAAACCAAGTTGTGAAACTTTTTTGAGGTTTTAACAATTATTTGCAAAAAGACTAGAGAAACAACTTTTGTTAAATTCTCAAAAATGATTGTTTTACTATGGTTCTGAAAATTGGAATCAAACAGAATCACAGGAAATCACATAAGGTTCAAAACACTGTTAAAAATAATGATGGGATATATCACACCTATTAAATTTAATATAAACTTGAGAATCGAATACAGAATCAAAAAGAATCATTAGAATCCTTATATTTTATTAATATTTTAAGTAATTTCACTTTTTTTTTTATAAATAAAAATTTTCTTTGATAATTATCCTAAATGTAAATAATTCTTTAGCTAATTCTTTTGTATAAATAGTTAAACCACACATAAATAATTAGATTAGAAGCAACTTACAATTAACCAAAACATTATAAAAAGGCTACAATTTTTTTCAACTATGAAAAAAGAATAATTATCATAATTATAAAATTTATAAAATTTGAATTTTCTTTAATTTTCTTTAATAAAATTATATTTTTCTTTAATAAAATTATATTTTTCTCATGTTTTTTTTTTATATTTTTCTATTGTTTTTCTATTAAAATTCAATTTTTATATATTGTTATCTTTTGATTCCAATATTAGAACAGAGTTATGAAATTAGTTAAAACAATAATTTTGAATTGTTTATATTAATTTATTTATATTTGATTGTGAATTTTATTATTTTTTGATTTTCTTTGATATTTCTTTGAATATTTTCTTTTATTCTTTTTTATTTTGTTTCTATTTTCTTTTATTTCATAGGAACACCCTGTTTATTGTGAGTCTAAATTGACATAATTTTTATTTTGCTCTTTTAAGACATTAACAATAATATAGGAGGCATGAAAGGTAACAAGCCAACCAGTAGATAATTTTCTATCTTATGTAGTTTAGAAAATAGATAGAGTTATACTCTGTACTTAAAAGTGTTTAATACAATTCAATAAACAAGGTGTATGCCAATTATTATAAAAAAAAAAGTGTTGATAAAGAGATTAATACACAGTAAACCTGGATATAATGAAGTATTTTTTTAAAAATTTTAAAATTTTTCTAATAAAATTACCTGATATAACGAAAACCTGCTATAACGAAGAAAAAAGTGCGAACCGGACCCCTTCGTTATATCCAGGTTCACTGTGTATTTTGATTTTTTAAAAAATATAAACTCGGAAATGTAAATCAATAAATAAATATTAAAAAAATTAGATTTTTAGAATAAAGTTTCATAAACATTTCAAAAAAGATTAAAGTAAAAAGAAAACTTATGATAATATATAGAAAGTAATAGAAAAACATTAAAACTTATATAGACTCATTGGTTCGTTCTTACTAAAAAAAAACCTAGAATTTAATATTATTATTAGCTTAAAACAAACAAAACTCGAATTTCTTATGTGTAAATGCTATATTAAAGAATAATGAAGTAGTATTCAATATTATGAATGATGAAAATAATATTCACTTAGAAGTAATACTTTATTTCAAGAGATTTGATGGTTATCGGTTTGCGAAATAAGATCATCTTTCTCAAGGTACCTTGCATCACTTTTTCGAAATTGTACGAACTTAACAATGACCTGAATCCAAACGCTTTCAAAAAACAACAAACTATAGTAATTCTTAATTTAATTAAAAAGAACGTTCGGAAAGGATGTGTAGACATTAACGATTTTGAGCAAGAATTAGTGAAAGCAATCAGATAAAAAATATTTAGGTCAAAAGAAGACAGAATCATTTTTTTATTTATTTACTGTAATAATCATATGGATGCATATTTCAGTGAGTTTTGAGGTTAAAATGAATTTTAACATGAGTAAAATTGAAGAGGTAGATTTTATTTAAAAAATGTGTAATTGAAGAGGTAGATTTTATTCTAATTGACGAATTTTAAGGTACAAAATTTTTTTTTTAATAAAACATAAAATTTATATAAAAACCTATCGAAAACCTAAAAAATAAATACTTGTACAATTTTTTTTAATAATAAATCTATAAACGAATTTTTAAAATGGATACGATTTTCTAACCGAAAAAATATTTACTTATTTTCCTCCTGATTTGATAAATTCGATAATTTCATCAAATTTTTTATCTAACTTTTTAATATTTTTGTCCAACTCATTAATCTTTTTATCAACATTTTTTTCGCACCTGGTAAGTTTTATAATAGCATTGGACAAATATGGCATCGATGAATCTTCTTCTTCTTCATCATATGTCTCATTTCTCACTTTCCTAACATATTTTGTAAGTTCATCGACGGATACTTGATAATATCTGAAAAAAAATTTTTTTTTCGTATTAGAAACTGGTAGAATTAATCTTCGAAGTAGAAAATATAGTATATATGAAATAATTACAAAATCTCTGGAAACCAATTTATATTTTTTCTTTGGTGGGGAAACATCCAAAAAAGTTCAATCTCCACCAATATCTATAAGCAACATTATTGTCACGGTCGGAATTCTTATTGAATTGTGATAGATAAATAAAAAAGATACATACCTCACCCCTTAATTGCAAGAAGGATTCTTCATTATTTCTTATATCAATCGCCATATTAAGTAGTCCAATAAATAAATTTAACAAATAAATTGTCGTGAAAAAAGAAAATAAGACCAATAGAATCACCAACGTCGGATTTTGGTTTAAGGTCCATGAAGAGACTGAACTTCTGTCTCCTGTAATGCGACTAATTATTAATAATCAATATTTACTGTATATATCTTACACAATCATATCATACCTGTTAACATAAAATACACAGCCAATATAGCGGTATCAAGTGATACAAATAAGTTTGTATTTTCGTCAGGATTTGTAATAAGAGATTGTTGACCGATGTTATCAGAAGAAATAGAACGGTATCTTGTAACAAGATTCCAAGGATTATTTGCGTCATCGTTATAACTTGGTTGATCATAAGAATATTCGGTGGTAGGTCTTAACAAGAGATGGAAAGAATGGGAAAATGCAAAGACGATAATACCCAAAACAAGAAAAAAAAAAAAGGTTTTTCGCTTAATTCCAATCATAATTACAAAATATTTTCCGAAGTAATTCAGCGCACGGAAATAAAGTAAAATTTTAAGCTCAAGCATGAGTGTTGATATAACGATAATCCATAATGATGGACTTTCATCAATCAACCATATAAATGAAGTTATTGTCGGCAATAACAATGCGGCAATATCTACAAATTAAATTAAAATCAGAACTTATAAATAATATTTGGATTATACGTGTAATATTAATTATACAAACCAAACAAGTTCCAGAAATTTGTAATATAGTTTTTTGGATTATGAACAAATTCTCGAATTTCAAAAGAAAACTGAAAAAGTCCAAGAATAATTGTTGTCACCAAAAGAGCTTCCTGGTTTTTCCATGAAATCTTATTTGGCGGAATCGTTGCAACTATAGAGAAACATAGTAAAAATATCGAATATATTGCCCACATTAAATAATAATAATATTTCCCAAAAGTGTTCCACTTAAAATCGACGAGAGCTTTAATGTTCCACCATTTATAATAATCTGAAGAACTTAATTCGGTGAAAGGGTTTCCGGCTGGTTTAATCAACTCTTTATAAATAGAATGGTTTCTCTCAGGGTATGTGGCAAAATTCGATAAAGGTACCATTAACCAAACGATTTTTTTCTTAGAGTGTGACGTAAAATAAGACGAATAAACAGAATAGGGAAATTTTAATGTGTTATAAATTGAAAGGTAATTTTTTTTCAGAAATTCCCATTTATCGGAAATCCAGCGATTGAAATGTGAGGTGTAAGATAGATACGGTATGTAAACATGTGTTCGATAATTATCATAACGTGACGATGTATCCATAGCACAATCATAAGCATCGGGAACTAATAACGCAGTATAAGATAAAAAACGTTCTATAAATTTATAATTTTGGTCGTAAGATTCTAATTCTAAAAGTGTAAAAGTAATTCCATCCATTAATTTTATAAACTTGGAAACATTGCCTTTCTGAAACTCCTCTAAACTCTTATCAAAAATCAAATTAAATAAATCCTCGATTTGATAATCTTTATTTCCTTTAATTAATTCATGGAATATGTCTCTTCCATATAATTCCAAGATTAATAGATAATTAGGAAAATTTTCTGGTTCATACCAATCCCATATAAGTCCTTCTTTAAAAAATTTCTGAGTGATACCCATTCCGTATAATTCCAAGATTAATAGATAATTAGGAAGTCCTTTAGTAAATTTCTGAGTGATCTCCCTTCCATATAATTCAATAAATGACGTATCCTTAAACCTTGATATTAACCAATCATAGGTTTTAATGTGGAAATTAGGTCGTTTTATATAAATATCATCCAATAAATGCTTAATAATTTGATCAAAGTACAGCGAAGGTATCAAGTTCTTAGAATCTTCAATTTCTTTGAATTTATTCACGAGAATTTCAAGTTGTTTGATCAGAGCTTCTCGCCCCGTTTTCGATGCATGTTCACTATACGTATCCATGTCGACCCAATAGTAAAGTAAATCAATCTCGGAGCTAGTATTTACTGTCCAGATTTGTATGCCAAAAGAGGAAATAAACATCAAATCTCCGTTTTTAAGCCGTTTAAATTCTGTACAAATGGAATCTTTTTTCTTTAATAAAGGTACAACTATTTCGATCTGACTTATCGTCTCAGTCTTAATCTCTGTCCCAGTCTTCTTATTATGGATAACCGATAATAAAAAATTTCTCTCAGAAGACTCAACACTCCATGGATATAGCTGATCAGTATTCTCTGCAATAGATAGCTTATCAGTATTCTCTGCAATAGATATCTTATCAGTATTCTCTGCAAAATATAGCTGATCAGTATTCTCTGCAAAATCTTGAGCAATAAACTCACTCGACCCATACCGCTCCAAAGTGTTTTCTATCGTTTCTAATATTTCTTTTCTATAGGAATGTGAATTAATTCTATTATATTCTCCAGGTGAAGATTCAGGTTCACGTCCATCTTCAGGTTCGTCTAAGTATTTGATCCAATTTTGTCCTTCAGATAAACTTTCAATGTTTTGCAAACGACCTTTATCAAAATTTATAATGTGATCACTTTCATCGGAAATTATAAAATTACTTCCTTGCGTCAGATCCTGATCCAATGACACATATAAATTTGTTTGTTTTGGATTTATAACTGCGAAATAATTTAGATTATGGATAAGCAAACGTTCCTCTTCCTTTAATCTAATAAAATCAATAGTAATAGTATTGTTGACGTTGGCTTGGAGTCTTTCTGATATTGTTAAACAAAATTTATAGATCAGTAATTGGATTATATGGTTTGCTTATACATAATTGGTACTTACGTTTTGCTATCATTGCACAAGATTTTGCTGAATAAATATAGATACAATTTTCTATGTGTGCATGTTTCAACTCATCCACATACAATACTTTTCCAGATATTGCCAATAATGATTTTTTCCCATTTAGTAAAATGCAAATGCGCATATCATAATTATTTACATCAAAATCACGAATACTCGGGGGCTGTGAGTTCAAACACAAATTCAAATTCAATTCATATTGTGCCTCAAGCTCCAGTTTTTCTAAACTCCATTGTATGACTACTAAAGGCTTATCTAAGAGAACCAGCAAGCTTTCCTGAGAGATAAAGCAACTATGAAATTTTAAAAGTTTAATGCTATTCGTGCAGTGCCACTGATCTTTTATATTAGAAAATATGTAGACCCGATAAGCAGGATCCCCTTTAACGACTACTAATTTTCCATCTTTAAGAAATGTAGCTTCGCAAGTTCTTCCTTTTAAACCTTGAGTATTCAATGTTTTCTTTGACCCGGTTGTGATATCAATTATTTCTATTGAATAAAATTATATTCGTTATTAAAAGACGTAATTGCAACTTAGATTCAACGCCAAACTTACTTACCAAGGTCGTAAGGAATATTTCTATCAATACTTAAGAGAATATGTTTGCAATCTGAAACTCTTTTTAGTTTCCAGCGTGAAGTTAAACGGTTAAGGTTAAATGAATTAGCTCCTCTTTCCCTTTCCACGAAATCCCACACGCAAACAGATTGATCATATTCTTCGGATGAATTTTCCATATTATCATATTTATTACTCGAGGTTGCAATATATCTCATATTTGGTGAGTAAACAAGACTTGTTATTATTTTTTTTGAATGTACGTAATCCTTCAAAATTCGGTCTTGTGCAGAGCCTTCAGAGCCTTCACTATTAATCGAAATTCGGTGGTCTCGTGCAGAGCCTTCATCATTAATCGAAATTCGGTGGTCTCGTGCAGAGCCTTCATCATTAATCGAAATTACGTATTCCTCAAAGCCTAGTTCGCTCATTTCCGTAGAATACTAAATTGATGAACGTTCATCGAAATGCTTTACCGTATCTATAAGGAGTTTCTGATGTTTACTTTGACCAATCCAATTTGCGCGCACACTTAGTATCGCCCAAGAGCATTTATGGGGAGGCACAATAAGGCAAACAAGTTTCTTCTTTGGACACAAGCTCAATTGCATACTCATACGCCAGAATCAGTTATCTCTATAACTCTACACAATAGCATTTATGGTAACAAGAAATATGCACAAATGGCGTTATATGTAAAACTTACGTATTTGGGTAATTATTTTCGAAGGCGGACAGGAAGTTTTCAGGCCCCAGAATAACTACCCCGAAAATTCATATTATAA